TGAAACAACAGGCATTTGTTTTATACTTACTATGAGCCAAGCACTAAGTTTGGGGGAAAGAGACACATTTACATGTTATTCTATAGACTCCCTTGCACTGACCTTTTCTTCAATAAGTACTTGTTAATATAATCCTTCTATCTGTTTTATGGTGCTTTGAACATGTAAGCCAAGATACAATGGAAATACAATATTCACATTTACAATTGGTCTACAAATGAATAGAAAACTAAGACCGAAAAAAACCTTTATTATTGTACTAGTTACTAGCATAGGCTACAGTAACAAACAGATACAAGCACATAATGGCACAGCCCCATAAAAGTTTCTTGGTCACAATTCATCTCTTGGTGGGCAAGTAAATAGGTTGCTGAAATGACTCTTAAGAGATACAGCCTGAGAGGGGGTCCACCTCATAAACACAAGGTTTCCAAGGGTCACTGCATCTCAGTCAGTATGCAGTGGCACTTTCAAGCCTTTAAGTGGCAGCATCACTTCCACTTATAATCAACAAGCTAGAACCCAGTCACATGGCCCCATCTAACTGCAAGGGTCATCTAGGAAACATAGTCAAGTGTTGTGTTCAAGGAGAAGAGGAAATGGATTTTGTTGAACAATGAGCAGACTGCCATAATTTTCATTAAATTATCTGAGAAAAAAGTTAAATTATAAGAAATAAAACACTGGGTCATGAAGAACACTTAGTGTACCAATGAACAGAATCTTTAGCACTGATTCTCTGAAGTAATTTGCACTTATAAGGAACTTCTATCCAGGTAACAGTTAAACCATGTTTTATTAGAAACAAAACAGCTGAATTCCAATATTGTTCAGAGTCCTTGCAAGGGTGTAATTTGTTTTTTTCTAGCTGAATAGTAATCTAAGCTAACTGATCTGAAATGATGGGAAAGAAGACAATATTCCAGTATTAATATGTTTTCTACAAGCACATCATTGATAATCTTCCTCTTTGTTCCCAGGAATATAGGCCTCTTCAATGTGTTTGTGGTTTTTGCATTCGCTTCACCATCAGCATTTTTTCTTCACAATTGTCCTTCAATGACTGCATCCTGTTATGAACCCTTACTTAGCCTGTGACCACTTGCCTACTTCCAGATTTTGACTAAATTCTCAAACCCTTCATGTTAGTTCTGCACTTGAGCCTGAACTTGTGCTCAGAGTAGCAGACAGAAATCCATTAGCAGTAATCCATCACTGCTCAAGATCTTCTATCATCTGATATCTAGAGAGATTTCCATTTATCTATGAAATATATAGATTATCCCTTAGAACTAAATTCCTTGTAATTTAAAAATCAAATATCTCTACTAGGGATATTTCTTTTCCAAGTCTTAAGATTATCACCAGTTCTGCTTTGGTAGAGTTTTTTGTTTTTTTTTTTGTTTGTTTGTTTGTTTGTTTTGAGATGGAGTCTCACTCTGTCACCCAGGCTGGAGTGCAGTGGCACCATATTGGCTAGCTGCAACCTCCACTTCCCAGGTTCAAGCCATCCTCCTGCCTCAGCCTCCCAAGTAGATGGGATTACAGGTGTGCGCCACCACGCTGAGCTAACTTTTGTATTTTTAGTAGAGATGGGGTTTCACCATGTTGGCCAGGCTGGTCTTAAACTCCTGACTTCAACTGATCTGCCCACCTCGGTCTCAAAAAGTGCTGGGATTACAGGTGTGAGCCACGATGCCCAGCTGAGGAAGTCTTATTGACATCAGCAGGAATACATTGTTTCTTCTGACTTCAAATTTGGGAAGGCAAGCATTTGAAAAGAAATTGGGATTTCAGATATTAGCTCTGCTTTACATTGATCCTAAATAGGTGATATGGTCTCTTGCTGGTAAGTAGTAGGGAGGAAGAGAGGAGATACTATGGGAGTAACATGGATCATCAGGAAACCTTCACAGCATTATTTTGTTAGAACATGTTCATGGATTTTTGGTTTTGGTCACCTAGCACCAGAACACTTTGTTTAGGCAGAGTCCTAAAATAGGCAGGAGGCAGGGTCACACATCCCACCGTAGAAGCTGAAGGAGGAAGATAATCTTTTTTCTCTGACAGCTGGGGCATCTGCAAATGTTCTTGCCAAGGGCTTTCAACCTCGAGGGAGTGACACAAAAAGGCAGGATGCTGAGATCATTGTAGGTATGGTGGGGTTCACAGCCCACAGCATAGAGATGACTTCTGAGGTGTGGGGTCCTCTGAAGACTGTACCTAGGGCAGGGACCATCTTGGCTGTGCTCCAGGTTGCCAGCTTCCCTGGCTGCTTATTCTTTCCTAGACCTTGTTCTTCTTCTTTAGCTCTGTGACAGACTTATAAAAATTTTTCTTGCGTTGGTCAGGGTACATTTCTGTTGTCTTCACCAAAAATTCTGACTAGCATAAACATTCCACATATCATCTACACCTATAATTTCCATTAAAATAACTGTTTCATTGCAAAAATTATCAATGGAAAACTTTTAAAATATAGACAAATAAAAGACCCCAAAACCAAAAACCACTATGACCTCATCACCCATGCAAAACCATTGTAATCAAAGTTTTAAAACATTTTTTGGTACATACTCTCCCAGACTTTTTTCCTGGGCATATGAGTCTTTTCTGTTTTTTTTTTTTTCTTTTTCATTTTCCCTCTTCCCCTTTCTTTTCTTCTTTTTTTTGCTATTATAAAAGTGCTATGATACGATGATCAACACGTCTGCTATACATCTTTGCACACTTGTATCCTGAGTTTGTCTGCTCTTCTGCCTCATCTATAGAATTACTTCTCAACATGAACACAGACATGAGTCGGTCTAGCCTAGTGAAAAATGTTTGTCACACTTACTTGACTTGCCCTCCAACAAATAGATGTAGAAGTGGTAATTCTCATATACAAGAAGGCATATACAATAATTTCACGTACATTATTGAGTTATAAGACCAATGCAAGGCTGGGCAGCACGGCTCACATCTGTAATCCCAGCACTTTGGAAGGCCCAGGCAGGAGGATCGCTTGAGCCCAGGAGTTTGAGACTAGCCTGGCCAACATGGTGAGAGCTCATCTCCATAAAAATTTAAAAATTAGCCAGGTGTGCTAGCACATACCTGTGGCCCCAGTTACTTGGGAGACTGAGGCAGGAGGATTGCTTGAGCCCAAGAAGTCAAGGCTGCAGTGAGCCATGATCGCATCACTGCACTCCAGCCTGGGTGACAGTGAGACCCTGTCTCAAAAAGAAAGGAAAAAAAAAAAAAAAAAAAAAAAAGACCAACGCAGCAGAGTAAAACATGAAACATGTTCCTCCACTGGGTAAAAGTCCTCTAACACCTATCATGGCTATCTCATTTCGTCATGTACAAATGAATTCAAAGTTTTTATACTATAGTTGCTAGGATCCAGAACTTCCAAAGAAAGTTTAGGGTATACATATACTCTCGCCTGAAAGGACCCAATATTTCAACTAGAAATACATTAAAAATTTACTAGTTTCTCAGAATGCATTAAATTGATTTCTAATTCAAGAGGCGTTGTAGAAAATGTTTTACAGATAGATCATTACTTAAGAGGTACAAATAACAATTGCCATTACAAAGCAGAGAATCTAAGAGGATTTAATTATTGTACACATAATTTTACTATGTATATGAAAGTTACAAATGCCATTTGCAAATAGCAAAAATATTAAAAGTTCCTAAAAAGTCTGATCTCTACCTCACATCTTAATAGATTTTAGTATTCTTTTCTTCATAGAGGTAAACCTCAACTCCAGATGGATTAAAACAAATCAGTAGAATCTAACTTAATTGTATTTCTATTTTACAACCAAAATTGCCTTAGGTCACTTTGTTCTATAGCTCCTCATTCCATTATCTGTCTTTAAGGCATTTATTTTTTTCCTTCACAGTCATATTTTAATACTAAAAGTAAGAGCTTACAGCTCTGGTTTTCTTCCTGATGAATGGTAAACAAACTTCCCTCATTGCTACTTCAAAATTGTCTTTAATATATTTAAGAAACTGATTCACAAAATTTTTAGAGACTTCCAAACAAGTGTGCAAGTGTTTTTTTTGTTTTTTTTTTTTTTTGAGATGGAGTTTTGCTCTTGTTGCCCAGGCTGGAGTGCAATGGCGCAATCTTGGCACATGGCAACCTCTGCCTCCTGGGTTCAAGTAATTTTCCCACCTCAGCCTCAGCCTCCCGAGTAGCTGGGATTATAGGCATGTGCCACCAAGCCCGGCTTTTTTTTTTTTTTTTTTTTTTTGTATTTTTAGTAGAGATGGGGTTTTACCATGTTGGCCAGGCTGGTCTTGAACTCCTGAGCTCTGGTGATACACCTGCCTTGGCCTCCCAAAGTACTGGGATTACAGGCGTGAGCCACCACACCTGGCATTTTTTTTTTTTTTTTTTCATGAGACAGGGTCTGGCTATGTTGCCCAGGCTGGAGTGCAGAAGTGCGACCTCGGCTCACTGCAACCTCCACTTCCCAGGCTCAAGTGATCCTCCCACCTCAGCCTCTGGAGTAGCTGGGACTACAGGTGCACGCCACCATGCCTGGCTAATTTCTTTTCTTTTTTTTTTTTCATTTTTGGTAAAGATGGTTTCACTATGTTCCCCAGGCTGGTCTCGAACTCCAGAGCTCAAGCAATCTGCCTGCAGCTTCCCAAAGTGCTGGGATTGCAGGCGTGAGCCACCGCACCCAGGCCTTTTTTTCCTTTTTAAAAGAAACCAACCATCTTAAAGCTGTTTGTAAAGATTTTGACTATTTTTTGTCTTTAGAGAAACAGGTCTTGCTATGTTGTCTGAGCTGTTCTTGAACTCTTGGGCTCAAGCGATCCTTTCACTTCAGCCTCCCAAGTAGCTGGGCCTACAGGGGCACATCACCATGCCTGGCTTATTAATTTTAAAAGTCACATATATGACTGTTTTCATCCAACAGTGCTTTTTGTCCATGACCAACCCATTGATAAAGTAACTACCCAATCATTAAAAAAAAAAAAAAAAAAAATCCTTTTTCTAAATTATCAAATACTTTATTAAGCAAAAGAAAATAAGGAATAAACTTTTTAGATCCCAGGCTTCAACATTATTTTGCTATTCAAATAAAAATGTAGTAGTTTTCACATTTGTTACCACAGATTTCAAAATAATAATCTACATTCCTAAAAACTATTTACATATACAAACAAAAGAGAATATAATTAAGCTGGAGTTTTTCCATGTCATTGTCTTTGGGGTTCAAGCAGCAGAACCATGATGTAGGTAAGAGTACTATGGCCGATTGCCAGTGATGTGATTCAAGTTCAAAAACAAAAAGCTGAGCTGTGGGTATATTAGCTTGACTCATAAAAAGGATGTTAACCAAAAGGTCTCCATCTTCAGAGACCAAACAAGGGCAAATGTGCTATTGGTGCAAAAGTAATTGTGGTTTTGCCTTTTTTTAAAATGGTAATTACTTTTGCACCAACCTAATAAAATGGCAATAGTAACGATATGGTTATTTGTAAAACAGTACTCTCCTACACATTTCAAAAGAGCCTAAAGATACTCATAGATCACAGGTCTTTAAGAACAAAATAGGCTGCTTATTTATTTGGAATGGTTCTTGATGGAGGATATTCTAGAAGGCGGGAAGATCTTTCCTCCCTTGGCCATCTCTCTCTCTAGGGGGTCAAACTTTGAATTGTATCTCATTTATTTTTCTCAGTGTGACTCAAACCTAGTTTCAGAGGTTAGAGATTCTACATCTTTCAAACACAATTCCTATTGTAGAATTACACAGTAGATAGGAACTCTTACCTGTTCCCAACTCCGTTTCAAAATTCAGCCAAGATTCCTTGATATAGGATTTCTTTTCTTTCTATATTTTCTGCATTGCCACTTAGAACACTTATTTACTCCTATAATATACAATAAAATGTAATTTAAAAAACAACTTTGTAAAATAAGGTATGTAAGAGCAGTGTTTTTTTTTTTTTTTTTTTTTTTTTTTTTGTATTTGGTCATGTTGTGTGGGGCAAATACAGCTCCGCTTTGGCTGAGCTATATTCCTTTTTTTAATAATAAAAAAGCAAAATCATATGAAAATTTTCTTACAAATAGATGTATTTGTAAAAGCAAAAGAAAATTTCTTATTTCAAGTATGTAAGGAAAGCGGAAAGTATTCAATTGGTTATACATATACTTTTAGATATTTCAGTCTCTGTAATGACTGACATCCAGTGAAGCCTTCTTTCAATTTTCTAACATTAATACAAAAGTTATCAAAATGCATAAAAGTAAGATGCTTCTAAAAACAACTGTCACATTTAATGTTGTGATTTAGTAATCAGGTCATGATTTTTTCAACTCTAACTTTAATTTGTTTCTGTACTTTCTCTTTAATGGGAGAGGGGGTGGGCTTCTAAGTCTTCCTCTTGAGTCTTTGTACAATAAAGTGAGCTATTTGCTTCTATTTAGCAGAGTTGGATGGGGCATATCTCTGCATTTGATTGGTTGGTTTTTAAGGGATTACTCCTCTGGAAAGACACTGTCTCATATCGAATTGCTAGCAGCGTGGTCTTAACTGTGGTTCAACTTTTAAATAGAAGATGAACATTTACCATCAAAGAGAACACAAACTTCAGGACTCCTGTGTTACACAGATCATACACACTATATTGACCTGTTTTGATAAGGTTCTGTTTGAATACAACCCTAAACACCATCTCCAGAAACAACAACTGTCTCAATGGCATAAATCGGTAATTTGGGGTTTCTCGTGTATTACAAAGAAGCCAATAAAACTTAGAATAAATTCCAACTATACAAATAGGCTTCAGTAAGATTAACAAAATCTGAGGATGACAGGTAAGTCAACAAGTTAAATAAATTATACTATTTATACCCAGATGAAATAAAACAATGACTTCTAACTTTTATGTTGCATTTCCCACCTACTCAGAGTAAACATCAGACTTCAAATTCCATTTATCATTTTATCTGAAAGAATTTCCTCAGTCAAATCCTTAGTTGCAGGGCTTTACACTTGCAATCCATCAGGTTGCAACATTAAAGTTACTACAGCTTCTTCCCCAGTGTAAGCATTCTGTATGTGTTTTATTTACATTGTCACTTTTTACTTCCTCCTCAACTTTATATGTCTAAGAATGAAACTGTATTGCTATTATGTAACAGTATTTTAACTTTGCAACATACATACTGGTTTCTCTCTCCTTTGAACCCGTGTTCCTGAAAAATAAACACAATGTATCCGTAAAAACTATCTTGAGGTGTGTGGGGAAGAGTGCAGACATGTAGAAACAGACACTAAAATACAGTTGTGTGGAAAGGTAAGGATGTATCTGTCCTTGTTGACAACAATCCCCGTGGTTTATTAACAGCCACAGGCAGCCAACTTAGTGCCATAAGTCGGTAACCCAGTGGGCATCAGGGCTTTAGGGTCTCTTAAAACTTAATGTGATTCAAAAATACCCAAGGCAAGCACGCCGAAAAACCTGGAGAAAGTGCTCCAGTTAGAGCCTCCTTGGCAACCCAAACCGAACCAAATGACTCAGGTGGACGATTAGAATAAACCGTGCGCCGTTCTCTTTCACTAGGTCTATAAAGCCCATAAATTATGTTTCGTCCAGAAAACCAGGAGTTATGAGCACCTTCCTTTTCCACCTTTTAATATTCTGTATATCCAGCAACAGTTCTTAATCCATGGTCTTCATTCCTTTATTGCCTAAACAAGATCTTGGGTGTCTCCTGGTGATCACTTCTTCCAAGCTGACCTTATGTGACAGCAAACTGAAAAGCCTCTTCGTGGGAAGGGTCGCGACCGCGCGGTAAGTCATCCAAAAGTGGAAGCATCTTGCTTTTACTGACTTATGTATACGCGGGTGGCGACGGCGGCGGCCTGACCGGGACGAGGCCGGAGGGGAAGAGGGGCGCGGGCTGGGCGGCCGCGGCGGGGGTGACGGGGGCAGCCACGTTCCCCAGCGCTAGCCGCCGGACCCGGGACACGACGAGCCCCTCCCCGCATTGCACCCTGAACCCTCCCCTCCTTCCAGGCCTTTCATCTGCCCTCCCGCTGGGCAGCCCGCGGCCCCCAGACCTCAAGCCTCCCGCCTCCTTCCGCAACCCCGTCGCGCCGCCTCGCGAAGCCCTCAGCCGGGCGGGGACCCCGACCCGACCCCTCCGGCCGCGCCCCTCCCCCTCGTAGAACGCACCTGCGGCCCCGCCCCCGGCCGAACGCTGAGGCGGCGGCGGGCTGGCGAGGCCGGGCGGCTCGGCCCTCGAGGCACAGTCACCTTCCCTTCCCCCGCCATTCCGCCCACCCCCCTCACTCAGCCACAGAGCAGCCGCTGCGCTCCTCAGCCGCCCCGAAATCTAAAGGGGTCCGTCTCCGGCACCACAACCAAATGGCCGAGCCTCCCTGGCCGGCTGCGCAGCCCGCCCATTGGTCCCTTCCCCCCCCGCCGCCGCTGCTATTGGCTGTTGCCCGGAGACCCTCGGCGGCGATTGGCTCGGGCCGCTGCCGCTCGTCCGCGGGGCCGCAGATCCCGCCTCCACGGCGATCAGGTTAGTGTGCGCCGCGGGTGCTGGGGGCTCGAGAACCGAGCGGAGCTGGTTGAGCCTTCAAAGTCCTAAAACGCGCGGCCGTGGGTTCGGGGTTTATTGATTGAATTCCGCCGGCGCGGGAGCCTCTGCAGAGAGAGAGCGCGAGAGATGGAGATGGGCAGACGGATTCATTTAGAGCTGCGGAACAGGACGCCCTCTGATGTGAGCATTTGCCAAAAATATCTCTGTCGGTCCATTCTCCTACTTTGTGTGTGTGTGTGCGCGCTGGGGGGAGGCACTTTTTTTGGGGGGGGCGCCCGGGAGGTGCGGGTTTGAGGGTCGGACTGCAAGCGAATTGGCAAGGCTGGGGGGTTGCAATGCCATCCGAGCATGTTCCGGCTGCCGCCGCCGCTGCCCTTGGTGTGTGACTACCTGTGCGTGTGCTCCCGCGTGTGCGAGTGTGGGTGCGAGAGTGTGCGTGCGAGTGTGCACCCATCGGGGGCCGGCGGGCGCACGCGTTTGGGTCGGAGAGAATGAGGCGAAATCACCCTCGCAGATCGCTGCTCCCGTGACTCCGTCTGGGGGGAAGATTAACGAGGGAGGAGGAGGAGAGGGGCTGCCTCCTGAATTTAACAACAAAAAAAGGGGGTTTTACATTTTATAAATGTATCCCCCCTTCCGCCCCCCTCCCGCGCCTCCCCCCTCCCTTTCTCTCGCTCGCTCGCTCGCACACACAATAAGTTTGGGGCTTCGCGAGTCCGGTTTAGTTTCTGATAAATGTGGGCCGAGGGCCCCGGGGAGAGCGCGTGGGGAGGGGGCTGCAGCGGAGTTGGGAATGGCTGGAGTTTAAAGTGCGTCTTCATTTCTTTGCAGTGATGAGGCGAGAGACGGGGGAGCCATATTTGTAACTTTGTAGTGTTCGTGAACGCGCCCTTTCTCTCCCTCCCTCCCTTTCTCTGCCTCCCTTCCTCTCCTCCTCTTTCTCCCTCACTCTTTCCACCCCACCTTCGGGCCAGATGCTGATGTTTCTTCCTTTCCTTCCGAAGGGAGGATAAATTAGAAGGAGGGGGAGGGATTTTCGAACGTGCAAAGGCACAGATAATCCCCGCGCCTCCCTGCCTCCAGTGATCGCTGGTGCAAGTTGCCCAAAGGCTACGTCCCGGTCCCCCCTCGCCCCAGCTCCTTCCGGCCTCCCCAAGATGCCAGCCTTTGGGCCCTGGTGTCCCCCAGCTCGAACCCCCGGCCCGTCTTTCTCAGGGCTGGGCTCGTCGGCAGCCATTCGGCGCCTGCTTAATAAATGGGCACGGGAAACTTTGTCAGGACGCGAGCTGCCCGGAGCTGGCGCCGGTGGTGGGTACTGGCTGGGTCCACGTTTATGCGGGCATGGCAAACACGCAGCTCTAGGATGGGAGTTTGCCCGCTAGCCGCCGTTATTGATTGGGCAGCGGCGGGAGCACAGCCGGAGGAAACTTACACGGGTGGGAATCGCCAGGCTCGAGCGAAAGCCCACCCCCGAGGAGGGGGAAGGTGAGGGTGGGTGACTCGAACGCTGGTTTTTATTTCTGCCTCCCTCTCGCTTTCAAACCTGAGTGTTTTCGGCGAGTTGGCGGCTCTGGGGCGGAGACCCCGGCCAACTCCCCTCTTGGCCCCTCGGGGGGACCGGGGACGCGCTGGCGGGAGGACGCCCCCAGTCTCGGTGGCCCGAGCTCCACGGAGTTGGGAGTTTGGGCAGCACCGTGCGCTGGCCTGTCGCTCCTCCAGCCCGTTAAACCCGAATCCCCGCGAAGACAGGCCTCGCTTCCTCTTTTCCCTAGTTCCTCCCCCCAAACCTGAGTGAGACTTTTGAAAACAAGATCCTTTTTGTCTACCCCCTCCCCGCCTTAACGCAGCTGTGGACTGGAGACGTGCGAGTGCCTTATGGCGCGCAGGGCGGGGAGGGGGCGGTCGCGGGAGAGTAGGGGGCGCCGCCGGAGGAGGCCGGAGTTTCCCCGCACTATTTGCCATTGGTTTGCTTCTCTCCGGCCGCTTTCGTCCTGGCCGGGACCCGGCGCCTTGCGTTTGGGGGCTGGGTGTGGTGATGGGGGAGGGGGTCGGGGCCGCGGTCTTCCCGCGTACTTTCCGGAAGCCCCCTGCGCGGAGGGGGAAGGGCGCCGAGCGCGGGGTCGGGGTCGCCGCGGGTGGGTGTGGGGGCGCGGCTGGCCTGGCGAACCCGACTGACGCTGCCGGCCCCCCGGGAGCGAGCCGGAAAGCGGGTCGAACCGGCTCTTTAAACTTCCCCGAGTGTGTGTGTGTGTGTTGGGGAGGGGAGCGCACCGCGCCGTTCTGGGAGCGATTTCTCACGCTTCGCCCCCTCGCCTCCCAGCCTCGCGGCCCACACGCCTGCCCCCTGCCTGGAGGCGGGGTGGGGCGCGGGTGGCGGAGGAGGGGGCACTTTCTGCACATTTGCGGGGGTGGGGGAGAAAGCTAGCGAAAGAGGGACAAAAGGGGTGGGGGAGGAGGAACTGTATTTTTTTAAACGTTCTTAAGACAAATGGCTCCCAGAGCGCGCCCCCTGCGCCCCTCCCCGCCGCGCTGCTCCCGGGTCCCCCACACACCCACCTTCGGCACCTCTCCCAACTGGGCTCCGGGAGCTGGTGGCCATGCCGCGACGCCGAAATAGGACGAGCAGCCATGTTTCCCGGGGCTCGCGCCGCACGCCCCGCCCCTCCTCCCCGGCGCGGGGCGCGGGGCTCGGAATGCGGGCTCCGGGCTCCATGCGGCGCGGGGCGCGGGCAGGCGGGCGGTGGGGGTGCAGTACGCGCGGGGCCGGCCTTGTGGCTTCCCGGGCTGGTTTCGAGCTCCAGGTTTTATTTTTATTATTTGTTTTTGTTTGTTTATTTATTTTAACGGCTAGGCCCGCCAGGGGCTGAGCCCGAAGGGCGCCCAGGCGTTACTGGGGGGCAGGAGCCGCCGCCAGGGCCCTGCGCGCCTGTGGCACGACTGCCGGGCGCCGGGCTGCCATTTTGTCACCGTGGCTGTTGTCGCTGTGGGGGGCGGGGGGAGCGGAGTCTTGCGCCATCGCCCCGACGGCCTCCCGCGCGGAGGCGGCAGGGGGAGCCGGCATTGGGGACCCCCAGTTGTGCTCTGAGCCCCGATGGGGGTTTCCGCCCGGCGCCAGCGGCCTGAGGCTGTGCTGGAGCGTCACGGCGGCCGCGGCGCCGGGAGGACGACGATCCTCTGTGCAAGTGCCCCCCCACGCGCTCCCTGCCTCCCACGCCCTCCTCTCCGGGGTTTCGCTGTTCCTCCTGCAGGCGTTCAGACGTAGTTAAATGTGGCCTTAAGGACTAACCGTTCGCTCTGGTGTTTGCTCTTTCGGCGGAAGTGATAGAGTAAGGGGAACATTAAACATGAGGTTCTTTTGGCGGGGGTGAAGGGTGTCGCGCACGCGACTGTAGTGGCCCTGACTGAAGCCAAGGACAGCAGCCTCTTCCCCGGGAGGGAAGAGTTGTCGATCCGTTGGGGAAACGCCCTCCCGGGCTGGGCTCTCCGGGAAGGTAGGTCGAGCTCCGTGTTTCAGGTGGATGTTGCAGCGCCCTGCAGGCTAGGGGAACCCTCCTCGGTCTTAACCTGCTCCTTCGCCCTTTTATTTTTGCCTGGGGGAAGACAGCTACAATAGTAATGAGGTCCTAAACCGAAAGAGAGGGATGAAGGTTTGCTTTTGAAAAAAGTAAACCGCCTTTCTCCGGCTGTTGACTTAGGAGCCAGGCAGTTCGTCGTGTCGGGTCCTCCGGTGCTGGCGTCTCTGAGAATTTTTAAAAGCCGGTATTTAGGTGCTGGTTAAGCACCTCACGAGCTGAACTCTGGTATCTGTGCAGAGACTAACTTTCATGGCAGTGTCCAGCAGAGACTGCCTTGGAAGCCAGCTTTTACTTTGACCTTTGGAATACGTCGCATGATGTTTTCCAGGCTGACTTACTGCCTAATTGGGTTCAAGTAGCATGGTATTAACTCCAGTTTATGCAAGCCAACCAGGAACTCACAGGCAGAAAATTGAGCCTGAAGTTCCCGTATGGTCATAGTCAGTTGAGTTCTGCTGCTGATAGTTTGGAGTCTGGGGGGCTCCATGATGAAGATGGGCTTAGGAATTACACAGACCTGGGTTTGAATTCCCCCTGCCACAAGGAGGTAGGATACGTTTACCTGCCCTTGTGACCTTGGACTGGTGAGCTTAACCCACCTTTTTGAAACTTGGTTTTTTCACCTGTAAAATGAAATAATTCCATTTAATCAGTAAATGATGACAAAACTGGTTTGATATGACTCTCAGTATATGCTGTCTATATGACAGTGTTAGTCTCCGAGACATATCAGGGTGCTTCCAGGCATTACTTTGAGCTCCTCCATGGTTTAGGATAATAACAATATTAGCTAATGCTTACATAGCAGCCACGCTGTGTCTGGCACATTTCTTAAGTGGATTACATGTATCAACTAATTTAGTCCCCACAACAGCACTGTGAGGTAAGTATTATTATCATCATTATTGTGCATATGGAAATTGAGGCATACAGGGGTTGTCATGTGACCAGGGAGTGGCAGAACCAGGACTCAAACTCAGCCAGTCTGCATACTCAACCTCTACACACTCCTTTGAAACACCCTTTTTTCTTAAGATACCGTAAGGAAGAGCTTTTACTTCTCCAGCTTTGGAGTGGTGCCACCTTAGAAAGAGAATGAGTTTTCTATTATTGAAGATGCTGAAATGAAGAGTGGATAGCATCCTAGTTGAAGATGTTAGAGGGCCAGGAGGTTCAGGACCAGGGGCTCTGGATTATCATTTTATGAAGCCATGCATTGAGTTTACTTTAGCACATCACAGTGGGTTAGATTGAAGTGGATCTGGCCTTTAAGGTGCTGGGGGACACGTTTTGAGTAAGGAGAAGACAAGCAGGAGCTGCTCAGGCAGTCTGCATCTGCAGCCAAAAAAAACTCAACATAATTGGCATGTCGTTAGTATCTGGGACATAGTATACTCATAACACCTCATGGATCATCTCACTTAATCATCCCAGCAACTCTTTAAGGGTAGGCCAAGCAGTGCAATGCCATCCCTGTTGTGAGGATGAATCATCTGATTTTTGGAGAGGTTGAGCAACTGGTAGGTGGCACAGCCGGGTTCTCGCACTGCAAAACCACAGTCCCCTTTGGTGGACAGTGGACAGAGACTCCGAGGATTGGATAGTCCGTTGGATCCATGGCCCATTACCAGAATCATGTGAGAGGCATGTAAAATGTGGATTTCTGGGCTCTACCCCTAGTCACAGGAGTACCACAGCGATCACCAAACTGTAACTGAGCTCCCTGTTTTTGTACAGCCATGAGCTAAGAATTATTTGTACATACAAACATTGCAGTCAGTCTGATGGTATGGAACACTATCTTTGAATCCCAATGACGAGATGTTATTCCCTCCCGAAATAAGAAATCCACTTGTCTCGTTAGCAGATCTCATTGCAAAAAAAAAAAAAAGTACTCAATATATTCTGAACTTTATCAATAAAAGAATTGTGGAAATGTGTTAGATTTTTCTCTTGTAAAAGTGCCTATGTAGTGTTCTCAATTTTGGCTCTTGATGAAGTTTACTATCTGTCTCCTTTGCAGAAGAGGTTTGGTGAAAAGGTGGTTCAGTAGATTGGCCCCTGGGATCTGGTGTTTTGCTTTGTTTAAGCAAATGGCAAGCCATATATTTGGGTGGTACTCTCAGGGTCTTTTTAAGTCCTTTTATGTGTTCTGTGCCCTTTAAGTAATTGGCGCCTAGTGGAAATCAGGCTCAACCCAGGAACCTCCACAGGAAGAGAAATTATCCTTGTTACTGGTTTAATATGAAGCACTTCTCATCTAGAGTTCTGTATAGCCAACTGAAATTCTTCGTTGTGTACCCAGAACATGTCAAAGCCTTCTGTGTATCTTGTAGTTGAATGGTCACTCTTAGGTTCTAGATGTCATCTCAGACAGAAGGAGCTTTGGATTGCAACAGTTAGAGCTTTGAGGCTTGAACCAAAGGTGGGGCCCCAGTGGCTGACATCAGCCTTTCAGAGCACAGATCTTTGAAAACAACAGATAATCCTGGAATCTCTAGTTTTTGGCCTGCTGCTTTTCTACCATGTGTGTTTCCTGGGGAATGAACCAGCAGCATAGTGGCTTTGAGTTTCAGAACAGTTTTTCCCTCTAGCCTCTTATGCCTGAGCTAATGAACAGAAGGAATGGTTATAAAATTGGCCAGGTCAAGGGAAGGAGGAGATAAATTCAAGGGGACAAATTCTAGTCCCCGTAACGGCAGCCTGTGTTATGACAGCAAACCACAACCCCAGTTCCCTCTCTCGTACTGCTGCTGCACCACCAGCCTCTCAGGGTGACTTACTCTAGACTTAGACAGTTGGCCATCCTTCTTTTTTTTTTTTTTCTTTTCCTCTAGCAGTATGAGACTTGTTTCCTTTATTTATTTATTTTATAATTTTTGTAGAGACGGGGTTTTGCCATGTTGACCAGGCTGGTCTCAAACTCCTGGACTCAAGTGATCTGCCCACCTTGGCATCCCAAAGTGCTGGGATTACGGGTGTGAGCCAGTGCGCCTGGCCCCCTTCTTCAGTACCACTGGAAAACACCTGCTTGAGCTTTCAGAGCTGGCCATCCCAGAACTTGGGTCCAAATTAATTACATCACACTGAAATTAAAAACTTCCTGGAAATTGTGTAGGATACTCTTCAGACATCTCATGCCTTCTCTATTTTGGTGCAGTCACTTAGGAAAGGAGCAGGGAGCTTGTTGGTGATTGGGCCCTGGCCCAGTGAACGTGGTCCAATTGTCTGGCCTGAATTCTAACTTAGTTTAAGAGGAGGCTCATAGCTCTGGTGTCCAGAGAGGCATTTCTTTAGAAACGTTTGCCACCAGGATCCCTCCTCCTTGTTCTGGCAGTCCATCCCTTGCTCTAGCTAGTTCTCTGGTCTCCTAGGAACTACCCTCTCCCAGTCCCCCAGCACCGCTGCCTTAAAGTAGAGAAACATGGACCTGACTCTGAATCTTCTATTGCTTTGAAATATAATTATACAACAAATGATAAATACCCAACAATGATGTTTTCATTAAAGAGATGGAGTCTGGCAGGGACAGAGATTTGTGAAGGCATCTGTTATTCAGAACTTCTCATTTAATAAAATTTGTTGAAACTAGATGAGCAAAGCACCATGGCCCTGAGCCACCTTCTCAGACATGGAAGCAGCCTCCTTGTCTAGAACTAGTTGTCCTGATGATATACAGACTCTAAAGAAGATAGACGTCCCTTTATTCTACCATACCAAGCCCTGTGCTGGGCCACACCCTGCAACCCCCTGCTTTCCCTCGGATTTATTTTGTTTTTAGCTCCACAGCTGCCCCCTGAATTCATTCAGCTACTGTTTCCTTTACCAAAACTTGCTCCAGGCAGCAGATCTAAAAGATCAGCTTACTTACTACTCCACTGTTATTTACTCTAATGTGGATTAAAGTCAGCGCTGTTTTTCCCAGAGGTATTTACATTTGGAGATTCTGGTTTGGTAAGGAAATTACCGGACAACTATTAAAGACTTGGATACTTTGCTATTAACTAAGTTGAACAAGTTGTTTGGCTTCTTTGGGCCTCTGTTTTCTCCATTCTAAAATGGGAGTGTTGAATTAGATCAGTGGCTTTCAAACTTTCTGGTCCTAATAGTAAGAAATCCATTTTACACCACTATCAGTTGTGTACATGCATTCCTGTGTTCTGTGAAAAACCGACGCCACACTCCTCTCTTACTACATGTAAAATATTTTTATTCATTAAAAAGAAAACTGACTGGCTTGGACCTACAAATTAGTTTCATTACTTGTTAATGTTTGAAAGCCATTAAAAGATGGATATGCCCTTGGTAACTTTGTGAGGCCTCTCCACTGAGGGTCAGTCATGACTTGTTTTAAACCAGCCCACCCCATCTTCTCCAGCTGCTCTCCTCTGTCTTGCTCCTCTCCCCGCAGACCTCACAGCATAAGGACTCAATCCTAGGCTCCTACCCCAGACTGGTGCCTTCCAAAGTTCCTGGTGCCAGTGGCCCCCCATCAGCCATGTTCCCCTAGCCCCTTCTCCACACTCTTGTCACCCAGGGCACCCATCCTTCAGTGCATTGCACACTTTGTGTGCTGGGTCCGGGTAGACTGTGGAGAGAGGACAGTGCACCCGGTTTCCCCACATAGACTGCGTGAGGGTATGTCCTGCCTCCCCTACTTCCAACTGTGGCACTTGGGCATGCCCCTCTCAGGGCACCTTCCCTTTTTGTCTCAGCAAAATGAGGTTGTAATAGTGCCTGCCACACTGGGTGGCACACAGTAAGCTCTCAAGAAATGTTAGCTGTTGTTGCCATTAGAATACCATAGCTGGAATACCATAACTGGTATTCACTTAAAAAAAAAAACAAAACCTTAGGGCTGGGCGCAGCGGCTCACGCCTGTAATCCCAGCACTTTGGGAGGCCAAGATGGCAGATCACCTGAGGCCAGGAGTTCAAGACCAGCCTGGCCTTGTCTCTACTAAAAATACAAAAAAAAAAAAAAAAAAAAAATCAGCCGGGTGTGGTGGCGGGTGCCTGTAATTCCATCTACTCGGGAGGCTGAGGCAGGAGAATCGCTTGAACCCAGCAGATGGAGGTTGCAGTGTGAGCCAAGATCATGCCACTGCACTCCAGCCTGGGCAACAAGAGCGAAACTCTGTCTCAAGAAAATAACCAGCTTATATTATTCACAGACAAATTACATAAAAAAAGTGACATTTCTTTCAATGGGAAAAGAGGTTTAGAAGCCAGAGATTCAAACTTACCAGAAGTTACTTTTTCCCACTAGGAATTCACTACAGTCATGATATTGGACTCTGGGTAGTTTCTACTGAGGATAAAGCGACTCGTCCCTCTTCTGGGTAGCTCTTCTTACTGCCCTCAGCAACTATTTCAGGCCTCCACCCGTTCCCTCCCAGCCAGGACATCCTCCTCACAGAAAATGGAAACCTCCTGGTTTCCTAAGCAACTGTGAGGCTGAACCTGCCTTAATCCCTCCCAGTTCAGCGGTCCTTTTGTCTTGGCCACCCCTGCCTAGTTCCCTTGTTCCTCCTGGGCACCTAGCCACTCCTGTCCTTTGGATTCTTCTCCAGCTGGGGATGCTTCTCCCATCTTAAAGCAAAGACTCCCTTAATTGATCCTGTGTTGTGCTATAGTTACTGCCCATCACACTCGTCTCCCTATTCCCTAAACTTTCTGAATTGTCTATCTTCTCCACCCTGTCACCTCTCTGACTCCACCCCGTGAAGTCTGGTTTGTTTCCAGATAGTGCCAAGAATCCCAACAGCCTTCATTTCTTATCTTGCATGATGTCTCAGTGGCGGGATTCAGCATTCTTTTTTTTTTTCCAGACAGAGTCTTGCTCTATCCAGGCTGGAGTGCGCAGTGGCGTGATATCAGCTCACTACAGCCTCCACCTCCTGGGTTCAAGCAACTCTCATGTCTCAGCCTCCCAAGTAGCTGGGATTACAGGTGCGCACCACCATGCCTGGCTAACTTTTCTGTTTTTAGTAGAGATAGGGTTTTACCATGTTGGCATGGCTGGTCTCGAACTCCTGACCTCAAGTGATCCACCTGCCTCGGCCTCCCAAAGTGCTGGGATTACAGGCATGAGCCACCACGCCTGGCCGGGATTCAGCGTTCTTGACTTTATGAAAGATGTTCCCCACTTGGCTCTCCCTTTCTCTGGTATGTCTTCTACGGCTCTAGTCACTCCTCAGTTTCTGGTGTCCTGTTGCTCTCCTGTTTAGCCATGAAGTACTGACTTAGTCAAACGTGGGCACTGGGCCTTCTTATCCTGTATTCTCTCCAAAGGGAAATTTGCCCTCCCTCACTGACAGCTGCAGGTACTATGTGCTGCTCCCTGAGGTTTGATGTTTACTGCTTGGGTAAGCTCGAGACCCACCTGATGTCTCCACCTTGGTGCTCCAACAGTGTCCTACTCTTAAGTCCAAAGGGAACCCGTGTCCTCTGTCCCTTGCCCCCCACCACCCACACACACACACACACACACTCATGATCCTCTTTCCATCCATCACCATTACAAGTCCTGTCTGTTTAAAACATGCTCTGTTGCTTGCCACTGATCTCCCTGTATCATAGTCTAGTCCTCTTGAAGCCATGCTGTGACCTTCGACTAGAATGATCTTATCAAAGCACACATGTAACCATGTCACCCCATACTTAAAATTCACCATTGTTCCTAGGATAAAGTCCCAAATCTTTAATAAAGACCAACAAGGTGCTGCATGGTCTGGCCACTGCTGGCCTCTTCCTGTCATCTGTTCCCTTGCCCCACCCTCTCTGGGCCTTCCCGGCTACCTCTCATTCCTGCAAATCTGCACTACACGGAGATTGCCACTGTATCCAGTTAGCATCTAGTCATCTTTACTGTCTCCAGCCTCCTCTCTCAGGTTTAGATCTAGTTCTTTTGCCAGAAAACTCTTACAGAAC